CCATACATATAAAAACATACTGTAAGAAAATATCTTTCTTTAAATTATTTTATGCCTTTACTTTTAACGTAGTTAAGAATTTTAAAAAATACAGTTTATTTTAAAATACATTTTTTTTTAAATTTTTAGATTATTATTAAGTAGAACTCTTAATATTACATTTAAGTAAATAATATTACTATTAGTTCCCTTAAAATGAATAAATAGAAATTTTGCACGTGAATAAATATTTAAAAATAAGTTATTCATTACAATTTAATAATAAATTTATATTTTTCTTCTAATACTTGCTAAATGAATTTTTATGTATAAATTTATATTAAAAAACCCCAGCACAGGGGGGTCGCGGCACAGTGGTGACGTGGTATAGATGGATCAAGTATAATGATATCTGACAGTGATTAAAATCACTATAAAAAAAAAACGCTTCGATGCAAATCTTTAGATACTGTTTAATTTTAAAAAATTGGTGGACTATTCCAAAAGCTACATGATCTGCTAGTTCATTATTAATATCCTAATTAAGATAAAGTATGTAGAATGAAAAAGGGATTATTAAAAAATATTATTTCTCATAAAAAAATAATGTTGATCCATACACTTTTCAATATGTCATAGCATTATAAAGTTAAAAATGTAAAAAATAAAATCGAGAATTTTCACACAATAATAGCATTCAGTAGCCATTTTCACCGTGAAGATAATATAAAGTCCGAAACTTTTTTTTCGCATAATAAAGTAAATTACATTAGCTATAATTTAAGATATATATAAAAGTGTCAGACTTTCCGGAACACTTTCAAAATTTAAGTTGAAAAAGTAAATTTTTTGTGAAAAAGTGGTCATTTTAAATCCCCCCCTGTGGGCAGGTAAAGGGTCAGATATAAAAAAAATATATACCAAATGATAGGTAAAGACATCATGCATCTATAAAAAAAAAATTATATTGATCCATACATCTTTCAAAAAGTTATAGCATTATAAAGTTAAAAATATAAAAATGAATTTTTTTACAAAAATCGTATTTTTTTTATAAACTTTGATGTCTGTTTTCACCATGAAGATAAAATAAAGTCCGAAATTTTTTTTTTGCATAATAAAGTACATTACATTAGCTTTAATTTAAGATATATTTAAAAGTGTCAGACTTTCTGGAACACTTTCAAAATTTAAGTTGAAAAAGTTCTACTTTCTACATGCATTTTTTAGATTTGAACCTCCCTCGTATATAGGGAAATGGTCAGATTTAAAAAAACAGTATGTCAAATGAAAGATGTATATAAATACTACTCCTCATGAAAAAATTGTACTGATCCATACATTTTTCAAAAAGTTATAGCATAATAAAGTTAAAAATGTAAAATACAAAATCGAAAATTTTCACACAAAAATAGCATTCAGTAGCCATTTTCACCGTGAAGATAATATAAAGTCCGAAACTTTTTTTTCGCATAATAAAGTAAATTACATTAGCTATAATTTAAGATATATATAAAAGTGTCAGACTTTCCGGAACACTTTCAAAATTTAAGTTGAAAAAGTAAATTTTTTGTGAAAAAGTGGTCATTTTAAATCCCCCCCTGTGGGCAGGTAAAGGGTCAGATATAAAAAAAATATATACCAAATGATAGGTAAAGACATCATGCATCTATAAAAAAAAAATTATATTGATCCATACATCTTTCAAAAAGTTATAGCATTATAAAGTTAAAAATATAAAAATGAATTTTTTTACAAAAATCGTATTTTTTTTATAAACTTTGATGTCTGTTTTCACCATGAAGATAAAATAAAGTCCGAAATTTTTTTTTTGCATAATAAAGTACATTACATTAGCTTTAATTTAAGATATATTTAAAAGTGTCAGACTTTCTGGAACACTTTCAAAATTTAAGTTGAAAAAGTTCTACTTTCTACATGCATTTTTTAGATTTGAACCTCCCTCGTATATAGGGAAATGGTCAGATTTAAAAAAACAGTATGTCAAATGAAAGATGTATATAAATACTACTCCTCATGAAAAAATTGTACTGATCCATACATTTTTCAAAAAGTTATAGCATAATAAAGTTAAAAATGTAAAATACAAAATCGAAAATTTTCACACAAAAATAGCATTCAGTAGCCATTTTCACCGTGAAGATAATATAAAGTCCGAAACTTTTTTTTCGCATAATAAAGTAAATTACATTAGCTATAATTTAAGATATATATAAAAGTGTCAGACTTTCCGGAACACTTTCAAAATTTAAGTTGAAAAAGTAAATTTTTTGTGAAAAAGTGGTCATTTTAAATCCCCCCTTGTGGGTAGGTTAAGGGTTAAATTTATGAAAAAAATGTACCAAACGAAAGGTAATGATATTACACATCTATATAAAAAAGAATTATATTGATTCGGTTATTTTTAAAAAAGTTATGGCTCTTTTAAGTAAAAAAAATTGAAAAAATTTCGAAAATTAGCGATTTTTAAATTTGTAATTTTTTTGGAGGTTTCCCCCATTTACGGGGAACGAGGGAATTTTTTTCAATTTTTGAGGGTAATGTCTTCGACTAGATACAATTTGTGATCTTTTGACGTATCATTGAAAGAAATCGGTTCGGTGAGAGCTGAGAAAAAGTGGTAACAGACACAAAAAAAAAANATTGGTTCGGTGAGAGCTGAGAAAATGTGGTAACAGACACAAAAAAAAAAAAAAAAAAACACATCTTAGTAAAACCAATACCTTCTCAGCATCGAAGCTAAAATTTTCTTACAATAAAACACATATAATTCATAATTAATATCGATTTAATACAAACAAATAATTCATTTGTCGAAAAATTTACACTGTTGTACCCTCGCATTATATCATTGTAAGCTATGCATCTTATCTTAAAATACAATAAACTGAAAATCACTTAAAGAGTAGTTGAACGTATGGTTGAGAAAAAGTAGTTTCAGATATAAAAATAAAGCTCGCAGTATTTCAGGAATATTTTAAAAATTTAATTTCAAACTATTAAATTCTCCCTCTGGGTAGAAAAAAAGTAAAAAGCACATATCTAGCTATCATTCTCATCTTCATCCTAACTATAGGCTTTGGTTTTACCTTAAAATGATTCAGTAGAATTTTTACAACATTATTATGGCTAAGGGCTTAAATATCTCTTATTTGTCACTCATAACAATAAGGAGGTGACTGAATGATCCATTGCGTTACACCACGCTTCAGAATAATAAAATAACCCAGCACCCCTACTGCATATGTCAATGCTTGTGGTCATTTCACATAAAACTATTTTAAACTCTTGTAGTTTTATGATTTATTATTTCTAAATAAGTAAATAGAACACTAGAGAAGGTATTACAGGTATTACTAGAATGGTGCAATTTTTTTTTCTATCATTTCATGAGCTCTTTTCTTTACTTTCTATCAATTCAACCTTGTTACATTTAATATAAAAACTATCATAACAGAATTTTTTCTAAAATCATTTTCACGATACTAAATGATATGAAATATCCTTTTAAAAATCACTTATTTATTCCACAATTTACAATTTTGAAATTCAGTTAATCAAACATTTTTGTAAGCGAAACCTTAATCCTTATTTTCATTAGGTTTCTGTTTTTAGATGTTTCCGTGATTTCATGTTTCTGAAGTGGCAGAGACGTGTTTAAAGTTGTGACACCCCTGGCAAGTAAATATTGTCGCCCATACATATCCCACCTATTTTATACAGGGTGGCCCACCACTCACTGACAACTTAAATAACTTTTGATCCAGTTAATATTTTTAGCTGATTTTTTTTTTAAATAATAGTTATACGTTAGGTCTATAGCTATATCTCAATAATTAATTTTTTTACATTTTATTAAAAATATTAATTATTTTTAAATTTTAAATAAAATGTAAAAAAAAAATCTAAGATAGCTATTTTGTAGAGTAGAATTTAAGAAAAATTTTAGTAAAAAAATATCTTATTAATATTCAGTAGTAAATATTCTGTAGCGTTTTGAAGTTTGTGAAAATTTGAATTTTCATGTACTATTTTACGGTATTAAACATTGAAATACGTATTGAGAAAAGGACAGAAGAAAACGCTATCTTTTCATGATTACTGTGTATACATATGATGATAGTGTGTATACATTACAAACTTGGCATAAATACCATGATAAGAAATTAGATAAGGCAATTATTACTTATCACTCTCATTCAAAAGTATATTGAAAAGATAGCGTTTTCTTCTGTCCTTTTCTCAATACGTATTTCAATGTTTAATACCGTAAAATAATACATGAAAATTCAAATTTTCACAAACTTCAAAATGCTACAGAATAATTACTACTCAATATTAATAAGATATTTTTTTACTAAAATTTTTNACTACTCAATATTAATAAGATATTTTTTTACTAAAATTTTTTCTTGAATTCTACTCTACAAAATAGCTATCTTAGATTTTTTTCTTACATTTTATTTAAAATTTAAAAATAAATAATATTTTTAATAAAATGTATAAAAAAATAATTATTGAGATATAGCTATGGACCTAACGTATAACTATTATTTAAAAAAAGAATCAGCTAAAAATATTTATTGGATCAAAAGTTATTTAAGTTGTCAGTGAGTGGTGGGCCACCCTGTATATTATGGTCACCAAAATAGCTGCAATAATTAATTAATCCCCTAATTACAAAAAAAAAAAATTAGTGTCCGGGGCAATGTTACCCACTCCCCTTCCTCTAAATACGTCCCTGGGTTTTGGGATGTTCCTTTTTAGTTCTATTAAATTTAAAAAAAACTTTTTTTATGAAAAATTTCATAAAGCAGGTATTTTGAAAAACTGTTAATTTCATTAGTGACAATATAAAATTAAAGGCAGCTATAAATAGTTATTGCTAAAATAATCAAAAAATGCTTTGGCAAATATACCACCTGGTGTTTTTTATGAGTAAAAACTATATTTGGAACTAGAAATTTATATAACATTTTATAAAAAACTTGCCGTAATAATCATCATCATTATTTTGGTAAAACTATTCAAATTTTTCTAAAAAAATGGCATCTTCAAAAATTGTTTCAAAGTGTTTGTTATTGTTTTGTGTGATCTTATGCATAGAATCATATCGAAATTCAAAAGAAACTACAGTGATAGTGGATAATCTTTTAAAATGTGTTGGATGGAAAAATTTAGGGTATGTAGGAAAAGTTACTTACAAAGCAAGAAACTATTATCTTTCGATTATTATTAAAAAGAAAATAACAACAAATAATTGTAATACAAAAATACGAATTGCAACTATTTTCCTTGGTTGCACATACGCATGTATTTTAAAAGACATCGTAAAATCTATTAATTATCTTCGAATAATTTGTTCGAAAATAATACATAATGAACTTTACAAATCACAAGGTCGAACATATATTATACAACTACTAGAAATTATATCCAATGTACCTTTATTTGCAAAAAAAATGCAAGGAGCCTTGTTTGCTATAGACGAACTGCATAATATTCAATGGAAATTGAATAATAGAAATACTTTTATATTAAAATCAGTATTTAATGTGTTAAAATATTTAGAAAACCGAGTAAACGATTATTTTACATTGTCCGAGAATTATGAAGACGATAAAATGCTACTATATAGAATAAAAATGAATATAAACTTAATTGACCAAGAAATAACCAAAGAAATCGGCCGTTTTAAAATTTCGGAACCCGAACAAAAAATAGCGCAAAAATTGAATGAAGAATTTAATAAATATAAGGAAGAAAGGATTGTAGAATTTTATCATTTTGGAACAAACTTTGTAATAAGAGAAATCAATTCTATGATGGAAAAATATTTTACTAAACTAGGTTTCGAAATTAATTCGGAAACAGGGATAACATTCATTCCAGATTCGTTAGATCATTTATTTCAAGGTATAAGTTTATCTTTTTATATAATATAATTATTAAAATAATTTATTTTTGTTATAAAAATACCTTCTTTTTAATAGATGAATGAAAAATTTGAGATGGAACGGAAGACCATACTGAAAAAATACTTGAAATTATCAACTTTGATTAAAATTATTTTTTCATTCATGTAAAATATAACATAGCTTTTATTTGAACCTAAATATCATTAGGCAACACTTAAAAAATTTATCAGAATTAAAATAATTACGGCACTTAGATAATTTTACATTTTTTCTATAACACGTCTTTAGAGAAAAAGATTGAGGAACTTCGTACTTATTAATGTTTTAAAAAAGTTTTAGATGTTGTCTACAAAAGCGCTGTTTTTATGGGTTATAATATACATATAACATCAAATACTCTTAAAAACAGTGGTTTTGTGGACATCAGATGTAACTTTATCAAATTAATAAGCCGCAATATCGATACAGTGTGTGGGGATGTACATAGAACTTACTTCTTATTTTTCATTTTTATTTTTTGTTATTATTAAATTAATTTGTCTATTGAATTTTTGTAACTTCTCCGTATTATTATTGTCACCTCAGTTTTTTTTTTAATTAATATTCAATAGTGAAATAATTTTAAAGCACTACAATATTGGTTGTTTTTGATTATTATCCACTTCAATTAAAAAGTATCTTTGAATAAGATTTTTTTGGTCGGTATGCTACATATGCGTAATTAAATAAATTGTACGAATATTATAAATTGTACCGTACGGTCCAACGGGAAACTACACCAAATAATGTGTGAATTGTGTTTTAGAGTAGAATTTCACTACTCATAAAAATCTTAGACCTAACCAGGACAATTTTAGCGTAGTCCGATTGGTAAAAATTATTGTTCGAAAATATTTAAACGTGTGCATAAAATAGTCATAGTATACGTCAGAATACATTTAAAATTTTGTAGTTTCGAAAATATTGTGATTTGTGTATAATTCACTGTCGTAACGTTAGTCAATTAGATATGACGGCAGTGAGCGTATAACAATAGTAAAAATATACATATCTATAGTATCTATAGAAAAGCTGATTTTATCTTTTAAGGCCGTTTACCGAATCGTATTTAAATGATACAGTGGACGCCGCTTATTGGACTCACGGTTAATTGACTCATTCGCTTATTAGACTCAAAACGCCTAGTCCCTATTTACACATATACTAACACACAGCAAAAAATTCGTATATTCGACTCACACACCGGTTAATAGGGTCATTTGAAAATTAGATAAATAAAAATAATGTGTACATACATTGAACAAACGTGCTATAAATACGTTATAAGTCGGTCCTAGTAAAATTGCTTTTATCGTGGAGATAAAATAAATTACCTTTTCACGATAAACGAAGCAGTCTTTAATGTCAATTAGTACGACAGGTAGTGTATGAATAGACGTCGTCGTGTACAGTGTGTTGTTTGTGTTTACGTTCTCTGTAAAAATTTTCATTTTTCGTGTTACAATGAACAAACGACGTGATTTGAGTGTAGAAGAAAAATTAGATGTTCTTAAAAAATATGACGAGCTTCCGCAAATGAGCCAGCGACAAGCAGCATGTAAGTTAAACGTGTCTCAAAGTTTACTAGGTAGGATGCTAAAAAGTCGACAGAAAATCGAAAATGCATCATTAGCAAATGTGAATTCAAACCGGAAAAGAAAAAGAGTCGGTAAAGAAGAAGAAGTTGAAGACGCTTTGAAACAATGGTTCACAAAAGTCAGAGAAAAAGATGCCCGAGTTACAGGACCACTGTTGCGTCAAAAAGCTGAGGAACTCGCGAAAAAAATGGACAAAAATAATTTTGTAGCAACAGAAGGTTGGTTTTACCGATGGAAGAAACGTGAAAACATTTCGTTTGTTAAGCCACATGGAGAACAGGGAGAAGCAGACCATGCAGCTGCACGATCGTGGATTCATTCAGAATGGCCATCTCTTATCGCCAAATATCCTCCGTCTAGTGTGTTCAATGCAGATGAAACTGGTCTTTATTTCAGGGCATTACCTGAACACACGTACGCGTTCAAAAATGAAAAAACTAGAGGAACTAAAATTAGTAAAGAACGTCTAACCATATTATGTTGTACGAGTATGGTTGGTGAAAAAAGAAAACTGCTTGTGATTGGTAAAAGTAAAAATCCCCGGTGTTTCAAGGGTGTTAAAAATCTACCGGTCGACTATACTGCAAACAATAATGCATGGATGACAAAAGAAATTTTCACCGAATGGTTGACCAAGTGGGACAATGAACTTCGACATGACGTCTTATTGCTAGTCGATAACTGCACGGCTCATATGGTTACAGTAAAATTCAAACATATTAACCTCACATTTTTACCCTCTAACACTACATCAGTTATACAACCATGTGATCAGGGGATTATACGCACTTTTAAAGCATATTACAGAACAGGCATGAGAAAGAATGTGATCAATGTGATTGATGCTAACCTGGAACAAGAATTATGTACCTTACGTGCTCATGAAATCGCTAAAAAAATAACTGTACTTGAAGGTTTGCATTTAGCCTATGAAGCGTGGAATATCGTCAGCAAAATCACAATACGCAATTGTTTCCGACAAGGTGGTTTCATTATCAGTCCAAAAGAAGTTGAAGCTGTTGTTGAAAGACCCGCTGACCTAACAACTGAACTTTATAATGAATGGATAAATATAGACGAAGAAGTCCAAACTACCGAACTCGTTACCGAGGAAGATATATGTGATGAAATACAGTCAAAACGGCCAAAAGAGAATGTGGCTGGTGATAGTGATGAAGATGAACCTGATGAAAAACCACCATCAACTAAACAAATGCTAGAAGCGCTTCAAATTCTACGCAGAGGGATTCAGCAAAGAGGCGATTTTGACGTATTCGAGCAACATAAATCCTACGAAAATATGATAATGAAGTTAGCCGAAGACGAAAAAGTCCAATCAACCCTAGATGAATTTTTATCAAAAAATTAGTTTCATTAGTGTTTTATTGACATTTATGACTACTGTCATTATTATTTATTTTGTTATTTAACTTTGTATAATATTACAAATATACATATTATATAGTCTTCGTAGGATTTTAATTTTCGTCTCGTCGTTACCTCTTATATAATATGAATATATATATATATAAATATTAGTGGACGCCGTTTATTAGATTCATTCGGTTAATGGACTCAAATGGTCAGGTCCCAAAGTGAGTCCAATAAGCGGCGTCCACTGTATATGGCCACTTATTTGGCTACAACACATAACTGATTCATCGATTTTTCAGGAGCATCTAAAAACTAATAGTTAAAATTTAAACAATTGTGAAACGTAGTATATTTCTGTACTCTTACTATGAAATATTATATATTATCGTATAAATTTAATTTATAACTTCATATTACATTCAGCACTTTTTCCTCTAATATCAATTTTACGACTATAATTCTGTCACTTTTCCCAGCTACTTAAATTACTGTACTTTTCATCTCCTCATCCATAATTACCCCTATAGTATTCTTTGTACTAGACTTACCTGAGTATATTATCTTATAACCTCGATTTCTCTCCTTTCCATTTAGTTTTCTGCACACAACAAATGTTAACTTTTCTCCTCTTCAATACTTCTACTAATTCTCTACTTCTACCAGTTAATGTTCCAACATTCCAAGTACCTATATTACTTTGTATCTATCTTTCTCCCTTATACACGAGTCCAGCCTAGAATTAAGTGGTGATGTCCCTACGCCATTGACACTTCAAGCGTTGGGTAGACCTGTACACATGACAGGTAAAACAGCTTCCTCACAAGTCGTTCGGCTGGTATTAAACACTTTATTCCTTAGGCCTTTTCCGTTTTTAACTATTTTATTTCCTCTCACCTGTTGTCCCCACGTACATCTGAAATGGGACAATTTGCCTAAGTTTTGTTCAGGACTAATCATACTTTTTGACAAAAATTTTACGCAGGTTGTCGACCTGACTCAATCTCATTCAAGGCCTTTTACGACTGGTAGAGGGGCCGTGGACGTATTCTTTTCTCCTATTCATAGGGAAAAGGTATACGTAATATTTTTAAATTAGATTTTTAATTAACTAGACTCATTACATATAAGAATAACCTTTCAATTATATTTTTGAACATATAATTTAAAGATACTAAAATATCAGCTATGTATTATTGATAAATCAGTAACAACAACAATTCTCGATACAACACATTCTATATTTAAGTCTTCTATCTATAAGCTTAGAATTATTTATTTTTATTGAGAATGTCATAATATTCTTAGAATAAAGTATTATTTTTGTCATCAATTATTTTCATTAAAATTAAATTGTTATTATTCTGTTATGGTAAAAGATGGTGAGGAATGAAGTAACACCGGTTGTAGTTCTACTTGGCGTCGAGCCGTTTAATAAAAGAATAAAAAAAAA